TCTTCAAAGATTGATATACATATTCTACTAGTATACATCAGATTACTCTTGCCTGCTGAAATTATCAAAAAAAAAATATTGTAAGTCCTGCATTTCAAAGTATAAGCATGAAGCAAGATAATTATTTCAGGACAGCATGAAGCAAAGAATAGTTTCTATCCAGATCATCAATTTACATGAAGTAGTTGATTTCAGTGCTGAAGCCGCTGGAGCACCATATATGGCTATAAAGTTTGCAGCAAAAAAAATTAATCGACTGCTGAATCAGTGGAAACATCAGCAATTGACTCCTCTATGGCTTAGAGTGAAATAATTTCGGCTGCGTGAGGGCAATTGTTTTCCAGTAGTTGCACACACTGGACCTCCACAGTGTTGCCAAGTTCTTAAAATTGCAACAGATGAAATGCAAAATGAGCCTAAAAAAAAAAAGTATTTTCCTAACTTAACGAATATAAAAGAACAAAGGTCTCAAAAGAAAATTAAAATGAAGAATCTGAAGAAAGTTTTGGGATCTAAAAGATAGTTACTGATTTAGAACCTTTGTTCTGATTTATGCAATCAGTATCAACAATTATTCATTGAGATCCAACAAGCAAACACACTCGATATGTGCGGTGTGAGGGAACATGTCTACAGGTTGGATGCTCCTTAATTTGTAGCATCCTTTTATTTTCTGCTCCACCTGCAAAGCCACCATATATGTGATTCAGACAGCACGAAATCAACCCCTGGAAAACAGATTCCAACGATAGAAGATTAATCAAATACCGAGCCATGACACAGGTAATCAAGGTCGCGAGTGCATGTGGCAGGATTGCAGGAAACATAGACGATTCGAGAGGCTTTTAACTTTAACAGAAACTTGATCAGCTTCATGTGCATTCCAGGATGATTTGGATCTGGAACATTGGAACATCATTTTATAATTAGAAACTAGCTAGCTCATACAAAGATTACCATCCTACTGATTACTTATAAACGTGAAACAAATGGCCAGCAATTGACATCAGGCAAATGACAATATATGCATATATCCCCATAGACTCTCTCCATTCCAGATTATTGTCAAAGTTGACAAAACACATACACTAAGGTAATAGAACCTATAATTTCATTTTAGTGGAAGAGTGCCATAAATGCACAGGGTGACGGTAAATATCTTAGAAACATCCTAAAACTGGAATAGTGCCATAAATACACAGGGTGATGATGAAGAACTAGGTGAGTCTACTGAAACATCCTAAAACCGGAAGCATCATAATCAACTTCAACAAGTTGAAATACATTTTCCAAGCCTCATAAATAAAGGTAAAAAAATCATAGTCAGGATACAATAACATGGAATAAGTAATAAAGAAATAAAAGAACATAATTAGGAGAAACAGCGCACTGGTGGGAGCAAACTATGACATTGGATACTTAACCTGATATCACTACATCAGGTCTAGGAAAATTCTTTCCAAAGTTTTCATCAATTTTATTAACGTCTCCTTGGACAAATGTTGCATTGCAGATTCCATTCAGGTCAGCATTTCGGCGAGCATCTGCAATGGCTCGACCGCTTGAGGAACTACTTCATAACCATATACATGTTTGGCCCTGAAATTATAAGACAAATAATGAGTATTATTGCATGGTGTATATTACCGTCTAGAGCGTCTACAATAAAGTCAATGCTATGATGCCAAGATTGCGAACCTTCTGGCAAGTGTGAGACCAATGGTGCATGTTCCGTAAAAAGATTGCGAATCTTAATATGAATCTACAAAAAAGGCTATCATTCTTGATGTCTTTTCAGGCCCTGTGTTCTTGACAAAGTCACCATTTTTCCATCAAACCTTGTCTTAGAGAAGAAATTAGCTAGTCCTGTATCATCTTCATCTCCTCCTTGGTTCTCGAGACATACTTTCTCAAGGGCGTGCTGCCAACAAAATACAAGGGGAGACTTCCAGCGGCCACATTTTTTCTTGCCTTTCAATGGTTTCTCATACACGAACTGGAAAACGAAAGATATAGAAGTGTATCAGTCTCTCTTAATCTTTTTACGCCTCAACATCTCCCCCCCCCCCAAAAAAAAAAAAACACCTACTTATTAACAAACATGTTCCAAGATCATGAGTTTCATGACAAAGGAAATACATACAAAATGCATCTCATGAACCAATCAAACACTATCCAGTTGCACTAAGAGCAAGACAAATTTAATCAAACAACAAATCACGAATTCTCTGTACCTTCCCAATTCATTCATTATATAACTTGCAATACATATTGATAATCGTTCCATGGTGGTTAATATCAAGAAATCACGAATTAACATATTTCTACGTACCTCAATGGCTCAATGTATGTCTAATATTTGGACTTTACAGACAATAAACTTCTCATGCAGCAATAAATATAATACAATAATTGATGTAACAATCTCTGTTCAACTCATTTGTCTTGCATCAAATTCATCACGGTAGTCAACCAAAAATAAAAAAATATCCATGGTAGTCTTCTTCAGCATTGTCTCTACTATTTTTGTTCCTTTTAAGGATGACTTCAGTTTCTCAAGATATTACTCAATTTTGGTGACAAAATTGAAAAGATATGAGAGGAAAATTATCAAGAACGAGATGGAAACCAAGGAAATTTTAACAAGATAAAAGTACCTTGAGTGATTTGCAAATTGGAATAAAGCCATTTTATACGGTTATAGATTCTGGATAAGGTGGAAGCCATAAAAGAGCCTCGATAAATTTGACAGGAGTATGCTTCAGAAATGATGCACGGAGTTTCACGATCAAATGCTTGACCCCACGGAGGGAAGGCCGGGACTTCATCCTCACTTTTTTCTGGTCCTATAAGATCCTTCATAGCACCATACAGACACACCAATTACCATAAAATAACCATTGATAGTTTATCTAATAATATTCGTGAATGCAATATTTAGGAAGACAAACTGACAACTTGATCATGCAAAAAGAAAACTGGAGAGCTAGAGAGAAGCTTATTTGGGGTTATCTCTTCAGAACCAACACAAATCGTCATTTGTTCACAGTTGCATAGCTTTAAAAAAAACGTAATTAATCCAACATACCACCTGTCAACTTTGATGTCAGGCTTAAGGTAAATGCTAGCTTGTGTCAGCTTGAGAATAGGGCCCTTAGATATAAAAGATATAGGATCATTTTCCGCGTAGTGAAAGATTTTCAAGTTGGGTGTATTAAGTTCAGCTGTTAACATATCTCTGCAATGTTCTCACGGATAATACTCATAATAGTAAAGATCCAAGTCCTCACATTCATTCACATAAGTGAACTCCAACAGGTTGGGTGCATCAATCTCAACTGCTTCACACCCTTTAGCAAAGTGCTCAACTTCGACCTTCAAAGGCTTAGTAAGACCAGATATCACAATTCTTGTCAGCCTATGACAATGTTTGAAGGTAAAAACCTCGAGGTTAGGAAAAGTAGCTCCTAGACTCTCCATAACCCCCTCATCTAAGTGCACATACTGAAGGCTAAGATTTTGCAAGGAAGGCAATTGGGTATTCACCAAAGAAGCCAAATTCAGCTCACATCCTTCAAAATTCAATTTCATGATCGATTTGACACCAAGTACACTCTTAGGAAAATTATACTCAAGAACTCCATTCCCACCAATCTGCAACTCTAATTCTTTGACACGACAACCAACAACACAATCAAGCCGAAGAATTCAACTCTAACCCATTATAAGGCACATAAAGACTAAGCTTTTCCAATTTTGAAATCGATCTAAGAGTTCGCTCAAGAAAGTCATAATAATCTTCCCGCTTCTTAACAATAGAATCCCTCCTCAATTTAGCACCAGCATTATCATTACTAGGTAAAATTCTCACCCTTAATAAACTACTAAGTTGAAATTGACCAAAATTTAAAATGGGCAGTTCAATCCATAATGCCCGCCAACTGCTCGATAAAATGCTTGATCGAATTGCATCCCTAGTTGGCAAAAATGAGAGAATATGTATTCTGATGGGTTCTGGTAAATCAGAAATTCTATCTGAATTTGTCTCTAAATGCAGCTTCTTTTCCATGTTCATGATCATCTAATAATGCATATTTTAATAGCATGTGTAAGTAAATACAGAATAAACTACAGAACACTTATACTATGATAAATTCATACAATTATTTGATCACATAGTATTAGAGTAATATAGAAATGGGAAAATTAAATTAATTGGACTAAAGATCAAATTTTCTAAATTTTACATGAGAAATTGAAGTAGTTGAATGAGAAATAAACCCTAGAAAGTATGAAGATCCTTGGATTAGGCGGCAAAATGGGGAGGAATTTCAGACTTGTATGAAAAGTTATAAGAATGCCGAATGGGTGAATGAGGGATAGTTTTTTTTTTTTTTTTTTGAATAGGAATGAGGGATAGTTTAAGTAATCAACTAGTTAAAGTTTTCCTCTCCGTAGAAGATTCTCGAATCAATTCTCATCACCTGTCTCTATTGCTTTAAAAAAAACGTCTCATTTGTATCTAATTAAAAACTTAAAAAACATAAAACTGTCTATGCACAAAATTTTACCAAAAAAAATAATATTCTTGCAACTTCATGGAAGTATGGAATGTATAATTGAAAGATCCAAATGCCTCATATACCTTGTGAAAGAAATGTATCAATTTTTTTATAGCACGAGTGTAACCTATAAGTTTTTAAGGTATGTACTCTTCAGCAAGGGACAGCAACCGAACCTTAACAAATAACTGTACAAGTCCAGCCGAGATATGCCAAAAAGGATATATCTAAGTCCACATATCTTGTGAATGTGGCCGACATATCTTATGAATGTGGCCGAGTCAAAAATAAGTGAAATATTGCAGCCCTGACGTTAAGAATTTTTATAACTTCTTAAAAATTTTGCAAGTTATTAGCTCGCTCAAGGGCAGGGTCGTGGGTTGCTTCACTTGCTTGTAACACATCTGCATATCATTTCAGTCATTTCAGACTAAAAAGTTAATAGTTTGAAACTTTCTCAGCTTCTCTGCATGATTCTAAATATGATGACAGTTTCAACAACATTTAAGAATTCGGACAGTTGGCTGTAAGTTCATGAGCCTTAAACAACAAATCCTTCATAATCCCTACATCAAATAAAAAGATGGAACTGTCTACCCAAAGTTTTAAAACAACAACAACAAAGCCTTAGTCGTTCCAACAACAAAGGATAAAAAAAAAAAGCTTGTTTAAGGAAACCTCAGAAACCCAAGGAAATACAAAGACACCAATAGAAGTGAAGCTCACAATACATGATCTGCAACTTTGGTCCCATCTGATCCAAGTATATCTAAGCATCTTCCGCATTTATATACTCAGGAAAATACGGGGCTATCCAGGCCCAGCATTATCTTAGATACCATCCAGGCCTCACGTTCTTGACAAAACATACCGTTTTCCCATCAACCCTCGCCTTAGAAAAGAAAGTTGCTAGTTTTGTATCGTCTTCATCTCCACTTCGATTCTCAAGGGATACTTCAGTAAGGGCATGCTTCCAGCAGCCACAGTTCTTGCCTTCCACTGGTTTCTCATATGTGAACTAAAGAGTAAAAAGAAAAACAAGACAAAATTATCATCTCATTCAAACCATGCTCCCCAACCCCATTCCCTATCTTTTTCTTACCAACAAAACATGTTGAATCATTATAAGAATGAAAAGCATACAAATTACACAACAGATTTACACATTTGTTTGAACAAGACTAGATTCTACAAATTTTATATATATGAGCCTTTGTGACACATGCAAGGTGCAACCGTGCAAGGGACTTATACTAATATAATACGGAGTAAGAAAAATCTCCTCCATAAAGCCTTAAGCTTAATTTGCCCACATACTTTTCAACACCACAAAACAAAAACCCAGGGGTAAGGGGGCAAGAAGCCCAGCAACAAGAGCAATGATATCATACGTCATACCTCATATCGAAGTACACAAAATACCCCAGAAAGCACATAGGAACATCAAAAGCCAAAGAAAAAATTATTAATTATAAAGGGAATACTGAAACTAAATTTTGCTATTTGTAATTCTGTATGTACAAGTACGTTCCAGACTGGTCATCCAACCACAACTGTAGAAAAAGAAATTATCATCCGTTTTAAACTTACAATGGATGGCTACGATGCCATCCAGGTTTTCAAGCTGTCTTTATACAAAGCCTTAATTAAAAAGTGACAAACATCTGCATAAATAAGTACATACTAGATGTACTCGCCAAAGACATAACAATGTGAGAAGGTGTGGTGAAACAGTAGAATTCAATTTAACGACTAACACTAAATGAGACAACGAATTTGTTGAGCTCTAAGCAACTTAAAACTCCCACAGCCTGAGACATGTAGCTTTCTTCCCTGTTATCCCCAGTGCTTCCAGTTTTATATGCACAAAAGAAAGCTTCATTTTCTCAGTCCTTGTCCTATGTACCACCATAACTCAATCATAAAGCACATAGCTAAATAAGTGGTGACTGTTCTAGGTTGATGTATAACTAAAACAAATATCTATTTTTGAAGGATAAAAGTTGGCTTATGTTATTAAACATAAATGTTTGAAATGTCCTGAACAGCTACATCTGAGATCCATAGGGGACTTCCATCTCGACTCTTAGACTCCCCAAAACATAGCTAAGAATAAACAACATGCTCAAATAAGCCTTAAACTATAAGTATAATCACAAAACATCTTTCCTAAGAGAGTGAACAAAGTAAAGAAATGTATGCATGAAGTATATTATTTTATATCCAGTAAAAGCATTGAATTTGAATAATATTCTTAAAATATATAAACAATGAAAGTAGTTAAAATTCTACTAAGGCTCTAAGTAATTTAACCTACAGCTCGGAGACATGTAGAAGAACAAATGTGAGCACAGCTCTGTGCAGTTCAATGAGATGAACAAATGCAAGTTAATTTTCTGTCATTATCTACTTTATCTTCTTAGCTAAATCATGAGTCTTGATATAGGCAGCAGGACATATGAATGATATTGCCAGGTTTATTACAAGTAAAGAGTCATTAATTAACCTCAAGTAACTGAAAAGAATTCAAATAAATAAAGCCATCTAGTTATATATTCTTATCAGATCGAGTCACCACAATTTGTTTTCTGATTCGAAATGCCTATGCAACAACAGTAACAATGCAGGACAGTCTCTGATGTTTTACCAACTCTAGTGTATAACTTAATCTGGACAATTGTTTGTGGTGGTCAGTTCCATTTTATTCTTCATATTATTTACACAAAAATTCCAAGTTATGTAAAAAAAAAAACAGCAAAATCAGCCTATCAGGACAAACCACCTAAGAGAAACAGAAATATGAGCAAATCAAGATCAAGTATTTGCCAAGATAGAAATACCTTAAGAAACTTGCAGACCGGAATAGAGTCATTATTGATAGTTAGAGACTCTAGGCATGGTGCAAGCCAAAGAAGAGCCTGAACAAGTTCGACTTGAGTATACTTTAGCAATGATGAACGAAGCTGCACCACCAAATTTTTAACTCCATGTAGGGGAGGGCAGGATTCCATCCTCACTGATTCAGGGATCAGAAATTCCTTGTTTTCAAAATATCATGGCAAACAAAACACCAAAAAAAAAAAGGTAGAATTAGCTAATAGATAGCATGATGGAATTAAATTATAAACTTATCATGCAACCAAAAAAGAACATTATTATACCTCTCCAGTTTCAACACGAAGTTGTAAGTTTTCACAGTGACGAAGCTCTGCAAGAAACTTGATGAAACAAGCATACCAATTGTCACCTCGGATGTTTGGTTTTATGAAAATGCTTGCTTTGGTTAACTTGAGAGCACAACCCTTGGGTTTAATAGTCATAAGCTCACCATTTGAATAATGAAAGGATTTTAAATTAGGAGCATCAATTTCAACCATTTTAATGCATCCACAGCAGGAAAATTGGACCTGGATAAGATTTTGATTTGAAACAGAAACATGCTCTAACAAATTGCAGCAATATAGTACCAATTTTTCAAGGACAAAAAGATTTTCAAGTATCTGTTTAAAAACAACATCACCCAATTGAGCACCATGTAATCTCAGACGTCTCATCTTTGGACAGGCTAGCACCTTGATTGCACACGCCTGAGCATCAATATCGCGATCATTAATATAGAAGAACTCCAACAGATTAGGAGCCTCAATCTCAATCAACTCAATTACATCAGCAGATGTCTCAAATTCAATAGTTAAGAGCTTATTGAGACCAGAGACTACAAATCTTGTCAACCCACGACAACTTATGACATCCAAAACCTCGAGATTAGGACAAACAGCAGCTAGGCTTCCAATAACTCCATCATCCATATAAACATATTCAAGGTCTATCTCTCGTAAGGAAGGTAATTGAGCATCCACAAAACGAGACGAATTCAACTCACATTTTTGCAAGTGCAATTTTGTGAGTGAATCAGCACCTAATACAATCTTAGGCAAACAATATCTAGGTTTTTTCCGTGAACTAAAGTGCAATTTCAATACTTTAATCCGACGCCTAACAACACATTCTAGCCAATGATCCAAGCGAGACTCCAACTCCAACCTGTAACCAAAAACATAAAGATCAAGCTTCTTGAAATCCGAACTCGACTCAAGAGCCCGATCAAGAAACCCATAAAACGCCTCCCTCTCCCTAAGAATTGCCTCTCTCTTCACTCTAGCACCATCATTCATACCTTTAGGCAATTTTTTAACCATAAGTGACCTACGAAATTGAAATTTAAGTTGATATTCACTCAATTTCAATTTTGGAAGTTCAGTCCACAACCCCTGCCAACTTCTCGACAAAATGCTAGATCTAACAGCAGCATCAGCTGGCAAAAATGAAAGTATATGCCTTCTAATTGGTTCTGGCAAATCAGAAATTCTATCTAAATTCTTCTCCAAATTAACTCTCTTCTCCATGTTAATGTTCACCTAATGCAGAAATTAATACAAAAACATCAATGAAATTGCAAAATTATAACTTTTTTGGATTCTCTTGTCAAAAGTTACCTAATAAAATTCAGATTTTGTGAGAAAGTAATCAATAAAAAAATTAAAAAAATAAAAAATGGTAAGAAATTACCAGAGATAAGATATTGTAAAAATACTACATATGCCGGATTTCCACTGTTGAACAAATTTTCATGCATTAACCCAACTCAAAACATCTCTTGAAACCACTGTCATCCCGATAACCAACACTCAACTCACTTGAAATTGCCTCCATCACGGTGAAACCACCCTCCAACATCAAAACCTCCCTCTCTTACCCCAAAAACCATCATCTCGAATCCCGATGCCAACTAACTCGAAATACCCCCCAACAATCCCAAAAAAAGCCTTACCACCTTGAAATCCAACCCTCGCGATGGTTTCAAGGGTGTTTGAGGTGGGTTAATATAAGAAAATTAGGTCAATGGTGGAAATCAAACCTGAGTTATTCCGTCTTTCACTACCTCCTATTACGCAAATTCTCAATAAATCTAGATTTATTAGGTAGTTTCAGACAAAAAAAATCCAATTTTTAATTAAATTATATAGGGAAATCAAAATCTTAATTCACTGATTGTATAGATCAACTTTAACTGGGAGATAAAGAAATTAGGATTTTGATTACCTGAAAAATGAGAATTTGGGGAAGATGGATGCAGAAGCCAAACCCTAAGCAAATAGTATTGCTAGATGTGTCTTTAAAAGTTGTAAATAAAACTACTAATTGTATTTATAGAGATTTTATCAAGCTAATTTTATAGAAGATTTATTAAACACCGACTTAGGCAATAGGATCCAAATTAGTGGCTTTATAAAACCGTTGATTGTATTAGCTGTATTTCTTAGCTAACCGATAATTGAGGGCTTGTTTCGTATTACTATAGATTTCTGTTTTTCAGATTTTTTTTTTTTTTAAAAAAAAAAAGTTGTATGATATATGTCATGTAATGAATCAAAAATTAGTCAAACTTATTAAAATCATGATAATTTTGAAAACTGACAAAAGAAAAGAAAAAACACCATTTCGTTTTTTCTTTTTTTTTTTAGGAAAGAAAACACCTTTTTCTTGTTTACTGTTTTTGGTTTTTATTTTCATAAAAACAGAAAACTAAAAACGATGGCAAACAAGCCCTCAATTAATACAATCAATAGTTTTATAAAGCCACTAATTTGAACCTTCTTGGCTAAGTTGGTGTTTAATAAATCTTCTATAAAATGAGCATGATAAAATCACTACTAATACAATTAACAATTTTATTTAAAACTTTAAAAACACATCTAACAAGATCCATTAAATAAGATACAAGTATAATTGAGGAATTTTAATACTTTCTTAGTATTTTTCCAACAATTTTCGTGAAATTGTTTGCACAAACTTTAGGTTACTTACTCCCTTTATATTTTTTACAAAAAATCTTGTATTAGCCGAACTTACGTTAATTTTATTGAAACACGGTTAATTTAAGTTGTATATAACATCAATATATTCCACTCAAGTTTGAAAGTTTGATGGAAAGAACCATTTTTATTTTATTTTAGAAAAATTTACAAAAACCCATTTATTGAAATTACCACCTAAGAAAAATTATTTTATAATACCAACAAAAAAAAAGGAAAAAAAAAATTCATCACTATTTGACAAGAAAATTGTTAAACCTTAACGTTTAAAAAACAATTTACCATGCTCTTTAGAGGTGTAGGGGTCATTTTTGTCCAAAGGAACGGATTTAATGTCAAAATTTACGAGAAATAATTGAAATTGCCTCATTTTGCGTACTGAGAATAACTTAGTTTGCGTGACGTATGTAATATGAAGCATTCTCAATAATAATATCATGTTTTTGGCATAAAAGTCGAAGAAATTTATTTAAAATGTTATATATAACGGTATTCTTAACAAAAAATGTCAAATGGTGAAGAAATCTATTTTTTTTAATATTATATCTTTTTGGGTCTCATGGTCCTCACACCCCAAACCCACTATTATTTTTTTCCTCTTACAATCATTATTTTTCAAGAGAGTGAGAGATAGCTTAAGTGGTTAGAGCTCTCCTCCCGACTCCATGTGATCTTAAAATCAATTCTCATCACTCACCTTTGTGGCTCTCTAAAAACCAAAAAAATAAAAAAAAAAAAATCAATAAATTATTAAACTATATTTCTTTACAATTTTTTAATACTCTCACAGTCGTAAACCCTACTAACCTATTATCTTATTTAAATCAATTAAATTGTAAAGTATATGACGGTTAAAGCGTAACACTTGTTAAAATACAAAAGTGGTATCAATTTAAATCTTCATAATACTTCGTATTAGATTTTCCAAACATTTACTAATTGATAAATAAATATATTAGTATTTTAACTAATGTATTATTAAACTTAAAAAAAAATTAATGAATAAAAATGATTTTTACTAAACTTAATTTATTTGCTAATTAAACTTATTTTTACTAATTCAGTGTTCATTTTATTGTTTAAAATTACAATTTTTTACTAATTTAACCTTATTTTTACATAACTTAACTTATTATAACTTAAATTATTTTTACTGAATATTATTACTAATTTAAACATATTTCTACAGATTACAAGTTAAATTATTTTTATTGAATATTATTGTTTTAAGGTGAATATTATTAAACTAAAAATAAGTTATTTTTTGAACTTCAATCATTTAAAGGCTAGAACATTTTGGCCTTGTTCGGTAAAGAGCTTATTGGAGAGCTTTTAGCTTATTGTGCCCAATTAGAAGTTTGACCATTCCAAAAAGCTAATTAGGGTGTTTGGTAAATAGCTTATTTCAAAAGTTTTTTAAGCTCTTTTACAAAATGCTAATGGAAAAATACACTTAATTAATCCCAACTATTGCCGATTTACTTCTAACAACCCCAACTAAGGTATATTTTTTTAACAATCCTAACTATGCTCTTAGTTTTCCTCCAACAGTCCCAACCGGTCAACAAAAAGTCAACAACCTATTATAACAGGTACCATGACACGTGTCAACACGTGATTGGTCCAATTTTAAAAAAATTAAAAAAAAAATACCCCAAAAATTCCCAACCACCTTCTCCACCGCAAAACCCTAGCTGACTGCCTAACATCGCCGGCGGAAACTCAAAGGCCACCACCCTTACCCACCGGACATCGCCGGCCTAACCTCAACAACCCAAGCTGGCCCAATCCCGACCCCCAAAACCAACTACCCAACCACCCTATTGGACTTTCGTTGGACTTGTTGGTGGTTTTGGGAATCGGGGTGACTGGGAAGGTGGTTTTGAGGGTCGAGGATAGGTCACCTAGGGTCGTAAAGGTGAAATCGACTGGTTTCGGTGGTTAGTGGGGACGTGTGGCTATTTTCCGGCGAGTTTATGTGGGTTTCGCGGTGTGGGGTTGTTGCGGTGGTTAGTGGAGAAGGTGGCTGGGTGGTTTTGGGGGTTGGGAGAACCTGTCGGCCAGTTTCGGGGTGGGGGAAGGTGGCTGGGTGGTTTTGGGGTTGGCCGGCCGATTTCCCGGTTGGCTGGCATTTGGTTGGCGGTTTTCGGTGGGCTGGGGGTGGCTGAAATGGGTTTTGTTTTTTTTTTTCTTTTTTTTTCCTTTTTTTTTTAACATTAGGCCAATCATGTGCTAACATGTGGCATTTAAAAAAAAAAATACCCTTTTAGCAGGTAACCGGTTTTTGGGACTGTTGTAAGAAAACTAAGGGCATAGTTAGGATTGTTAAAAAATAAACCTTAGTTGGGATTGTTAGAAGTAAATCGGCAATAGTTAGGATTAATAAAGTGTATTTTTTATAAGAGCTTTTTGACATTGGCTGTGTTTGGTAAATAGCTTATTTAAGCAAAATTATCTTATTTGACCAATATTAGCTTATTGACTATTAAATAAGCTGATTCAAGGTGTTTAGTGGGAAGCTTATTTAAAGAGCTTATTCCACTAAATAAGCTCTTTTTGAAAAAACTCCTTTTATGAGCTTTTTCAATTGGCTTATTCATTAATTTGTGGTGAAATGTCACTTATACCCCCATTTAACTTAAAAACTTACCTAAACTATCTACCCACAATTAGCTTATTGGTCATTTCACATACTGAATCAACTTTAAAATATCATCTATTTACCAAACACTTTTATACAATCAACTATTTACCAAACACTTTTATATAATCACTGAATACAATAAATTAGTCAAATCAGTTAATAAAATCAGCTAGTTAAAATCAGCTAACTCAATCAGCTTTCAGCTTTCTCCCAAACAGGGCCTTAGTCAAATCACTTAACACAATCAACTAGTCAAAATCAGCTAATATAATTAGCTTCAGACTTTTGCTTTCAGCTTTAAGCTATTCACCAAACACGGCCATCAGCTTATTGAACGATTAGCTTTTTTGCTATTAAATACACTAAAACAGCTAATGATTAACACCTACTACGTATTTATCAAACACTTTTACACAATCAGCTACTCAAACTAGCTAATATAATCGGCTAATACAATCAGCTTTATCAATACTTATATAATATAGGGAAAATGGAAAAGATTATCTTACCTTTACCCTATCGAAAACAATTTCACCTTCAATTTTTATTCCAAAACAATCTCACCTTTGATATCATTTTCTTTTACCGACCCATGACCGGTTGGTGTTGCTTGCCCATATCCAACCGCCAACTCCTTCCCCGCCCCCGCCCCCGCCCCCGCCCCAGCGCCCCCCATTGAACCCCACCCCACTAACACCCATGTCTTCCGCTTCCTGGTAGCCACACCCCCGTCTTCCATTTCCATGGCAGCCCCACCAAAACACCTAAACATGCATCCACCGTCGCAACCCCATTACCACCACCAATAACAATCACTAACTCGCCATAATTACCACCCCGCGGCCCCAACATTTGATCTATGGCTTTGTTCACCATATTCAACCCACAAAAAAAAAAAAATTGTTGCTGCTTTGAATCTCTGATATTTTTTGGCTCTTTTTATTTTCAATTGAGATTTGTGGGATATTGTTGCCGTTGTTGGGGTGTAAGATGAAGGAGATGGGGTGGTGGCGGAGGGTGATGGTGTTGTTGGCTGCAATTTCGGGGTGTGGTTATGGTGTTGGCCATGGAAGTGGGTGGGGAGGTGGGAGGATGGGGACTCGAGAATAAAGAAAGAAAAATTTTACCTACTCGTATTTAACAGGTTCTGAGTTTTTTTTTTTTTTTTTTTTTTTTTTTTTTTTTAATCACAGGTTCTGAGTTATTATATTGCTAATAAAAGAAGATGGGTCAAAGGTTAAATTGTTTTACAATAGACTAGATTAGGTTTTGGGCTCGTTCTAAGTACGGGTTGTGCATAAGTTGTTACTCTATATTTATTTATTCATTGTAAAAATTAGAAGTAATACTCTCAACTTTCATCGTTAGAATAATCTCAACTTTATATTATAAAGAATAATTTGAACTTTTAGGGATTTTTTTTTTTCTTCAATCCCAAATACCGGCTACCGATTGAATGAGTTAATTTTTTTTTTTTTTTTGTTACAGTAACACGTGTCACAAATTAGTTGATTAAAAAAAAAAAGCAAATCACCCAACCTCACCCCTACTCACCGGAACCTCCAACAAGCCAAACCCTTGACACCAACCACCAAATTCGCCCAGCCACGAAACCTCATTTACCGTCAGCAACCACAACCGTTACCATGCTCCAACCACCACCACCACTCGAAACTCCCATTCAAACCACACCCCCAACTCTCAAAAACCTTTAAAACCACCTCCCTCACTCTCAAATACCCCTAGAAACTCCTCCCCACAATTGAAAACCCTAGCCGCTAGGGTTTCGTGGTGGGGGAGGAATGTTTGGGGTTTCAGGGATGCGATTTTGGGGTTTGTGGCTACGATTTTTAAGATAATGGTGGTTGGTAATATTGGTGGTTGCATGGGGTTTCGAGGAGAGGGGAAAACAGTTACTCAAGGGGTGGGGGAGACACGGCGGGTTGGGCTGTGGTGGTGGTGGAGGTTAGGGCGGATCGGTGAAGGAAGGGAAGCTGGGAGGTTTTTTTTTTTTTTTGGACAATTCAGGACTTGACACGTGCCAAGTAACCTGATATAGTCCGGACTTTTGTTGACCGGTTAGGGATTGAAGAAAAAGAGGAACCCCCAAAATTCATCAAAGTTGGAATTATTATTTCTATTTTTTCCTTATTCATAAAAATTTACAAATTACTTGAATAACTTAATTTCATTGACTTTTCACATTTTATAATATATTACAAATTGTTTAGGTTTTAATGTTATATTATTGAAATTTAGTTTTTTTTGTTTTTAAGATTTTTTTTATTCAACCAAACTTTTTGTATATTTTTTTTAGGTAAAAAAAAAAAAAAAAAAAAAAAAAGTTACCAATGGATTAATTTGGACGAATCTCATGAAATCGAGAGGGGAGCTCCAACCACTTGAGTTATCCCTCACTCTCATTGATTTGTGTTTTTAAATACTAATAAAGTGTAAATTATAAGGAAAAATTGCTTTTCGAAGATCGAGCAAAGGTGGAATTATTTATTTTCATTCCCTCAAAAGTGTATTAAATTACAAGTAAAACAGATTCCATTCAACAAAAATAATTTAAGTTCATTAAATATAAGGTAAGAGAGTATGGGACCTTAATCAATAGTAGTTTTTTATATGTTACTTTAATGTTTTAAGTTTTAATTGATTTGAATACAAGAGAAAAGAAAAGGTGATGGAATCTAAATTAATGTTGTGAGTAAACTTGTAATCCCATAGACAATTTATTGTATGGAGAAATTTTTGTAAAATGCATCATAATTCAGGAATTGAAGTTATTTTCAATGATTTTACATGGAAATTGCTCTAAAAAACAGGTCTTATCTTGAATTATTGATATACATATTCTAGTATTCTACTAGTATGCAGCAGACTACTCTTGCCTGCTGAAATTGTCCAAAAAAAAATTAAAAAAATTGTAACTCCTGCATCAAGGTAAAAAAGTATTTTACTAAATTATGAATACTGTATAAAAGAACAAAGGTCTCAAGAAAATTGAAATAAAAAAATTATATCTGAAGAAAGTTTTGGGAGTTTAAAGATAGTTACTGATTTAGAACCTTTTATCTGATTGATGCAAATAGTATCAACAATTATTCATTGAGATCCAGCAAGCAAACACACTCGATATGTGGGGTGTGAGGGAACATGTCTACAGGTTGGATGCTACTTAATTTGTAGCATCCTTTTATTTTCTGCTCCACCTGCAAAGACAGCAAATATGTGAATCAGACGGCAGGAAATCAACCCCAGAAAACAGATTCCAATGATAGAAGATTAATCAAATACCGAGCCATGACACAGGTAATCAAGGTCACGAGCACATGTGGCAGGATTGCAGGAAACATAGACTATTCGAGGGGCTTTCAACTTTAACAGAAACTTGATCAGCTTCATGTGCATTCCAGGACGGTTTGGATCTGAAACATTGAAATATCATTTGAAAAATTAGAAACTAGCTACCTCATACAAAGATTACCTCCAACTGTTTACTTATAAACGTGAAACAAATGGCCAGTAATTGACATCAGGCAAAGACGATATATGCATATATATATCATTATATCCCAATAGTAACTTTTGTCAAAAAAAAAAAAATATCCCAATAGTAACTCCCTCCATCCCAGTTTATTGTCAAAGTTGACAAAACACATACACTGAGGTAATAGAACCAATAATTTTCATTTTAGTGGAAGAGTGCCATAAATGCACAGGGTGACGGTAAATATCTTAGAAACATTCTAAAACAGGAATAGTGCCATAAATACACAGGGTGATGATGAAGAACTGGGACAGTCTACTGAAACATCCTAAAACCAGAAGCATCATAATCAACTTGAACAAGTTGAAATACATTTTCTTAGCCTCATAAATTAAGGGAAAAGACTAAAATGGAATAATTAATAAAGAAATGCAAAAACATAATTAGGAGAATTCAGCGCACTGGTGGGAGCAAACTATGACATTGGATACTTTACCTGATATCACTACATCAGGTCTAGGAAAATTCTTTCCAAAGTTTTCATCAATTTTATTAAGGTCTCCTTGGACAAATGTAGCATTGCAGATTCCATTCAGGTCAGCATTTCGGCGAGCATCTGCGATGGCTTGAGGAACTACTTCATAACCATATACATGTTTGACCCTGAAATTATAAGACAAATAATGAGTATGGCTGCATAGTGTATAGTACCAACGTACCGTCTACAATAAAGTCAATGTTACGATGCCAAGATTACAAACCTTCTGGCAAGTGTGAGACCAATGGTGCCTGTTCCGCAAAACAGATCCAGCACAATTTCGGAGCCATCACCTCTGAGACCAGCAACATCCTCAATCAGTCCATAAAGAACCTCTGCCTGAAAAAGTATGAAAAGTTGGCATTTAGACCAGGAAATAATTAATAATATTACCAGCAAAATCAGAACTCAGAGGGACTCTACTTGTTAAAATCCAGTCATACAGAGACTATTTATGTCATTGTATAAAAAACTAAAGAAAGACTGTTAAGATGAACACATACCTGCTGTGTATTTGTCTGGAAGAATGAGTTGGCAGAAATCTGAAACGTCAGCCCTCTCAAAACTTCAGCAATAGTAGCTTTCCCATACAACACATGCTCCTTCTCCCCAACTGAAGTGCTCCCCACAGAGGTATTTATGTTGTTCACAATGCTGGCCTATTGATCATTAAAAGGGAACTTAATTATCACTATGATTACAAGCAAGTAAAACAGTGTGAAAGAATAGAAAGCTAGTACTTTCTCCTTCAAAGACAAAAGTGAACCTCAAATTATCACAAATATTCAATATAAGAAGTGAAAGAAGGGAATGCAAGAAATAAGAAGAGGAAATTTAATACCACACAAAAGAAAGAAGAATAATCAACTTTCAGAAATGAAGCCCTTGGCAATTGAAATTGCCATTCTTTGTCAAGAAACAACCTACCCCAAAAGCAATCCTAATTTTATTAGCTAACTTCTGCCTTCCCCAAAATATAAAGCCATGCTTACCACTCGTTCGTCTCTCAACCAAAAGGTTCATCTTTCACCAACAAAAGTTCTCTAAGTCTCATCAAATGATTGCACAACAAACTACCATTAAAAAAATTAATACATGTGCAGAGAACAGCATATCAACATTACTATTGTTAGGATAAATATTTGTGTATTTGACTTCCTTGAATAGGAACTATGGCCATAGTGCTACACAAATCTCCTCCAGGAAGTGCAGCATAGCTTGATCAACCTTAAAACTGTCAATACCACACAGACACAAATAAAATTTGTATTCCAGCATTTATATCTCCATTACTTCCTTCTGCAAAATGCCTTCACAGATACCACAACTCGACCTACAAGTAACTCAGTTTATGCAAATTTACCATATCAAGAGTCACAAAAAAAAAAATTGTATTCCAGCATTTGTATCTCCATACTTCCTTTTGCAAAATGCCTTTACAGATACCACAACTCAATCTACAAGTAACTCAGTTTATGCAAATCTACCATATCAAGAGTCAAAAAGTCTCTCCCTCCCTCCCTCCCTCCTCCCCCCCCCCCTCTCTCTCTCTCTCTCTCTCTCTCTCTCTCTCTCTCCCCCTCCCTCTCTCTCTCTCTCTCTCTCTCTCTCTCTCTCTCTCTCTCTCTCTCTCTCTCTCCCTCCCTCTCTCTCTCTCTCTCCCACACATACATATTTCACACAACTATTTTTTTGTATATACAAATGAGAATTTTAAGTCAAAGGTTTATAAGTTTGACAATAAAAGTGAAAATGGGCGCTATTTTATGGGTCACGGAGTATTAAATACAGATATGAACATATAATTCTACTTCCTAGCAGAATTTTGGAAGGATACAAAGGTAAAAACAAATGATCTTTCATCATCAACACAATAAACATGAGACTATGAGAGGTTTTATAGTCCCACATCTTCCTACAAGCATATACAATTTTTTTTAGGAGACATAAATGTTTTTACGAAGTGAGACCTAAAATATGGCTCACCACTCACATTACAAGAAAAGAGTTATGATTAAATTTCATAACATAATAATAATGTTTTGAACAATAACTATTACGGAGTAATATATAAATGTGACTAACCACTTCAGTGATGGCCGAAACTTTCTCAACTAGAAGCTCTAATAGCTCTGGCTTGTACGCAGAAGTCACAAAATTGACCATAATTTCAGGCTTACCACTTTGGACATCCCTGCAAAATGAAAGACCATCCATAGTAAGATTTAAAAATCAATTATCTAACGAACTCCAGCAAATTTGAGTCCTAGCAGAAGGATAACATTGATTGCTTTTCAATTGAAAGGCACATGTTAGAATGTCACTGACCTCCTAATTCCTATCTATGAAAGCAGCAATGACACAACTGAAAACATACATTTGACACTGCACCCATAAGCCTAGACTCAATTTTCTCACATAGTAGGCTAACTTTACAATCAACAATATTGACAGCAACTTTCCAGATTAAATTTTATCCAATACCTGCAAAAATCAGGACAGCCTTTGTCATCTCTGATATCCAGGTTCGTTTAAGTTCCAGAAAAGGTCAACATTCACGTAAGAATGACTTGTCTAAGACTTAGCAATTAAATTTTTGAGACTTAATAAATGCAATTTACATATGTATATTTATCATTTGGAAGCAAGAGAAATTGACTAAGTTGAAAGTATTCAAGGTCATTCGGATTTCAGATTCCAGAAATGGATGGAAATAGAAAGAAAATCAGACACAAAAAGTCATGGATCACCAAAGATCCCTTTATCCTCTTAAATTGACATGTCTCCATGGAAAATGTTTAGGTAAAGATCACAGCCTAAAGCAAATCAAGCTTCAACATCACTTTAAGCACTCACAGGCCAGAATTCATATTAGAAATAAGAAAATCCAGTTACCTGCCAGTTCTAATCACTAGATGCTTGAGAAACCCAGCATGGGTATGAACATTATAAGGAGAGAGGCCTAAGCTCTGATCTCTCCAGCAATCTTGAACTGCCAAGAGAACCTATTATCAGAAATTCAAATTAACTCTGAAATAGATCACAAACCAAACAACTCAATATCTAACATGATCATGGCATGAAAAGATGACATACAACCCTCAGCATAACATGAAAAGATGACATACAACCCTCAGCATAACATGAAAAGATGACATACAACCCTCAGCATAACATGAAAAGGATGTAAACAAGAATTGATCTTTGCATTAAGGGACTCCAGAAAGTAATGCTTGATATAAGTAGTAGTAGTAGATGTAAATATATAATTCTAATCCAGAAACAAAACTGCATGAAGAAAACTAGAAAAGAGCCAAGTGTTCATTATCTAGAGACCAAAAAAAATTTAACTTACTGCATCGGCAGGCTTGCTTTGTAACAGGCACTTGTTGATATTGAGTATCTTGTCAAAAAAGCCGGGGGCATGAAGTCCAAGAGCATAATCATTCCCACTACCTTGTTCTTCTTCCCAAAGTTCTTGAGGTATCCATCTTTGATTGCTAAATGAGAACTCCATCTGTCAAAGAGTAACAATATGCCAATATCCCATTAAGTTTGATATTAAGTACTGTAGACATTAAATTTCAGCATAATTAGATTACTAGAAACAATATAGAAGTGTCAAAGGAATAACTTCGACAAAAAAAAAAAAAAAAAAAAAAAAAAAAAAAAAAAAAAAGCAGAGGATTATAACTAGAATTCTAATGTATTAGAAGATATAAGCATGTAGCCAAACATATGATGTACATCAATACATATGACATGACCATCTAGCAAACTATTATCATCTGACATTGACTTCTCATCATTACCCAGTAAAAGTACTAAATGTACTATAATTACATCTAACTTTTTAGACATAAGTAAATTGCTGGTGATCTCTGACATAGATTCCACACATGCAGAAACAAAGGGACCGGCATTTATTTATTTATTTGTTTAATTAATGTCATACATTCTACTTGCATCTGTTTTCACCTTGTTTTTTCCTTGGGTGTTGGGTGGGTGGGGTGAGTTGAGCTGCCTCAACATATATCACAGTAAAGAGTTGAGGTTTTCTAACCTTGTTTCTGTAATAAAACTGGTTTGCACAAGGAATAATGGGCTTTGTGATGCTGAGAAAATCAGGTTGTGCATCAGAAAACTTCCCAACATGTAGCATTAATTCCCAAACTTGTTGCTCTTTATATTTTAGTTGGGCTTCATATGACAGACTCTGTGTCTTACAGCCTCCACAATATGAAGCATATTCACAAGGAGCATCCACAGCATCGTGGTGAGGAGATAATGTCTTCACCTTTGCCACCTAGAAACAATTCAAATAAACAAAAGAACTAAAAATAAGTCAATAAATGTCATCACAAAAGTACAAGGAATTTAATAGACTCAGACAAACTTCTTAAGTTCTCAACAATCAAACAGTACAGCATAGCAGCCCCAACACAAGAGGCAGTGGATAGAACCAACTCAATTATCCTTTCCTAGGAAATTGGTAAACTCACACAAAATGTTGGAACTCAGAACAAATGCATACAAATTAAGGGCTGTCAACAGAATCTAAAATAACTAGGATGAAATCGCCTTAAAACCGGGTATTCTTAGCTAGTTCCTCTGATTAGCTAGAGAGAAAATAAAATATAAAAATTCAGATTAATTTGGGGATTTAGGAACAACATGATTGAATTAATTAATTGGTTATCACCTAATATAAATTACCAGATTTTGGGAGGTTGCTCTCTCCCAAGGAGTGATTACAGATTACTTTTCTCAAAGAGTATTACAATCAGCATCCTCCGCTATCTATTGCAGCAGCCTTCCCTACTATTGCTCACCACTTCAACGTCCTAACGAACTCAATACTCAATACTGATTTCACTTGCCACCTTTAGTACTATTTCAGTAACAAACTGCTAAAATAATGAAATGGAAACACAATTAAGCATTTCTAATCAGATTTCCTTTATACTAATATTTCTTGTCAAGCAAATGTTGACAGCCCTAAACAGGATATCAAAGCCAAGCAGACATGTTGATAGTCCAAGAACAAATTTAGATAAATGGACATAAACGATCTTCAGAACATAGCACAATAGCACATTATTGCATACAGGGTAACACCCCAATATCCATTATCCAACTCTTGTACAGTAAACTTTGATCAACCTTTCTTCATTATTAATGAAAAGAAAGAAAGGTTCCCTCAAAAAAAATGTAAAGAAAGAAAGGAAAACTGTATCACATAGATAACATCACTCGAATGCCCAACACGAAAATCCCACCTAAGCTACTTCACAATTGCAGGAGACATTTCCAATGATCGCCTTGATTGAAGAGGGGACAGAAACTCACATCCATCTAACCTACTTCAAATTCAAACCTGGCTAAAAGTTAAAAACTCTAAAAACAACTCACCTATTTCACCAAATATATTCCAAATTCATTTGCACAAACACAAAGTTGAGGCTGATATAAAATGTAAGAAGACATAAAACCCAACTTCATAAGAGTTCACACTTATGTTCCTATCATAGTAAGTTGAAAGGAACCCATTAGACCGTCTATACAAGAATTTATCGACAACTTGTCTTTCATCCATTGCTTCAAATAATTATAACAAATAAAACACAATATTTCATACCAATTCCAATCAAATAAACCAATTGTTCCAACATTGTAACATAATCAAATTCCTACCAAAAATATAAATATAAAGTAGCATTATAATTGCATAAACCTCAGCATAATTATAACAAGTAAAACACAAAATTCCATATCAATTCCAATCAAATAAACCAATTGTTCCAACATTATAACACAATTTAATTCCAACCAAAAAAAAATGAAAAAGTAGCATTAGAATTCCATATACCTCAGCATAACTACCCTTTTTACGGGTAACCCGACCCAGAAAGCGTTCACCAGGAAGAGCTCGATCACACATAAGAACAAACCCAGTTTCAGGAACTTTACAAACCCCTTTTGCTTTAAACGCCAATGTCTCACAAACTAACTCAAGGGTTTGCCCTCTTTTGGGGTAAAACGATGCGTTTTTGTTGCTGGGTTTTGGAGGGGAGTTTGATGGGGTTGAAGGGTGTTGCTCGGAATTTTCTTCTTCTTCGGCAGTAGAGAGTGAAGCGGCGGAAATGGCGGAGGAGAGAGAAAATGGAGTTGGGGAGAAATGGCGGAGAGTGAGCAGCCATGGACGTGTTCGCGGGTTTATGGTTCGGACAGTATGAGTTGTGGGTATGGTTATGGCTGCCATTGTTGAGCTTGGAAGTGTGTTGAGCTTTGTGCTTCAATTTTGGAACAAGATATGCTTCGTATTTTTGAGTTTGTAGTTTAGTTTGAAAGGGGCAGTACTACGTCGTTTTAAAGGTGAAATTCAATTTCTTTTTGACAAAACAGTCTTTAACTACTCTCTCAATTTTTGAACGGGATAATTTGTCAATTACGGAGTACTACCTAGGCTAATACGGCTTTTGATTGCCCATCAGCCTAGGTCATGGTGGTTTTGACCACCGAATAGTTTGGCCGTTGTTGTTCTTTAACAATTCTTTAGAAATTTAACAAGTCGATGATCCACCTCGTTTAATGTTGACACCCCACTTCAGGTTCTTCATTATCCGTCATTTGGCAAAGTTGATGGTGGTTGTCGTTATTGGTGGTGGTGGCCGACAATAGTGGAACTAGTGATTGGTGTGGAGGGGGTAGGGTAAAGTGGGAGAGAAAACATGAGTAAGGTAAAAGTGTCCATTCTAGACTTGATCAAGTTGAGCTCGGCCCGCTGGCTTGACCCGACCCAACTCGTTTTTGGCGCAAATTTTAAGATGCACCATGGTGCACCTAGAGTCTATACTTTTGAACATTTAGTAAAAAAACTGAACAATTGCAAATTTTGAACATGTAGTAAAAACATCTGAACATCGCAAATTTTGAACATGTAGTTAAAAAATCTGAACTATCGCAATGCATTACACTTGTACTTTTGAACATTTAGTATAAAAAAATCTGAACAATCGTGAATTTTGAACATTTAGTAAAAAAAAATTTGAACATTGAAAATTTTGAACATTTAATTAAAAAAACTTGAACAATCGCAATGCACCACGCAAATACTTTTGAATATTTAGTAAAAAAAATATTAACAATAACAAATTTTGAACATTTAGTAAAAAAAAATTCGGACAATCGCAAATTTTGAATTATTACGAGTCAGACAAATTTTGAAAGAAGTTTGTCTGACTCGTAATAATTCAATAGTTTTATAATATAAACTGAACATTTATTTGTATACAAAATGAACATTTCTTTATAAAATATGAATATAAAAATTGCATGTTTATGTTCAGTTTTTGTGACGTGCTCATATTTTTTTACTAAATGTTCATATTTTTTGTAAAATGATCAATTTTTTTTACTAAATGTTCAAAAGTATAGATGTGGTGCACTTATTTCTAGGCGCACAATGATGCACATAACTCTAATTGCGCTTTTGGGCGGGCTTTGTGCAGTTTTTTCGGTCCAAAATCGGGTTGGGCCCAACCCAGCGCGATTTTTTAAAAATTTTGGGCGGGCTTGTGAAATCGATTTTATTCAATTTTAGTTGACTTTTTGGGCCGGCCCAAAAAGCCTATAAGGCCCGGCTAATTGGGCGGGTTTGAGCACATATTTTCCGACCCAAAATTTGGCCCGGCCCTTTAAATGGACAGACTTTTAGACTTTGGCACGGCCTGGCCCTGCCTGCCGTTTGATCATCTCTAGTCCATTCATACAATATGTCCATTTTTTTTTTATTAAATACGATCAATTTTGATTTTTTTTTTAGACAAATACGATCGATTTTGATAAACACAAGTACTATCACTATGTACTAATTTTCTTATAAAATAATTGAGAAAAATCGTGTCACCCAACTCTTAAAATTCAAATTTAACAAAAAAGTAACCAAACAAAAAGCACTTTAATTGTTTTTTTTTTATTTTAATTTCAAAAATGTACTTACAAATGTAAAGATAACACTTGGCAAAGTATAATTCTACCAAAGTGCCATACACATGCTGTCAAGTGTCAACATTCTCCTATCTCTTCCCAATCTTCCGGACAATTCTCTTCTCTTCACTATTCTCAAACCCCTTTTGTCTTCAATTCAATAATTTTTTCAGTTTCAAATAAACGTACAATTTACTTTCAAAACTGATGTAATTTGTGTGATTTATAACAATAATAATCATATTTAATTACCAAAACTGTTTTTCAAACGTTTTGTTAATCTCTTTGTTGTTTTCCTTGTCATACTATACCTCTCTTATTTACCTTACCAACTTATAATCACACATGGTATGATCACAACAATATCCTTCTTTTTCTCATCTTGTTATACATTCAATTTTGTCGATTTCGAACTCGTAATTTGATTTGATTGGATTATACTATTAGGAAGATTGTTCCTTTTGGTGGTGGGTTTGTTATGTTAGTGTCATTCATATTGTTGTACAATTATAGTTGAGGATCACCCATTTTTAGGTGATCCTATTTCGTGTCGTGTTCGTGTTTTGTTGAGGCTCTTATAGATCAAAGGACGGTTTTGATCAATCTGATTGCACCAACTAGTCTATATTCATAAACCCGGATGCCAAAATCCCAAATTTTTTCCCATTTGTTTTGAGGTGAAGATCCAATTATAGGAAAGAGCTTGTTCTGATTAAAATGCAGCTAAGGATAATGAACGGCGAAAATGGGAAAGATGCCGTAAGCTCTGCTAGAACAGCCCCAAACAAATCTTGGTCATTTAAGATCTTGTACTTTATCTTGATATTCTTTGTTCTTGGTCTTGGAGTTTGCATATTGAGTATGAATATGATCAGGTATCTTGGGTTGCGAAACATGGTGTTGAGTGAATCGTCGAGGTTAGAACCTTGCGACGATGTTACAAATACTCTAGAATGCTGGACTAAACCGCCTTCTAATCTTATGCATAACATGAATGATATTGAGTTATTTTGGAGAGCTACATTTGCACCGCGAATTCAAGAGTATCCTTACAAGAGGGTTCCGAAGGTAGCATTCATGTTTCTGACAAGGGGACCTTTGCCGCTTTCACCTCTTTGGGAGAGGTTTTTTAGAGGCAATGAGGGACTTTATTCCATCTATATTCATTCACTGCCTGGCTATAGAGCAAATTACTCCCGTTCTTCGGTTTTTTATGGCAGACAGATTCCTAGCCTGGTATGAATTCCTGCCTACAATACTTTCTCTGAGTTTGTTAGTCCTGTACTCCTGTTTATTAATGTGGCATCAATGTTGATTGTTTTAGATGCTTTTGATATCGTGTTATAGTATCGTTGTTCTGATTATCTGAAGGCAACAGCTTAGTTTGTTCTGTTTATCTGAAGGCATTAATTTACTTGATTCAGCTCACAGGCTGAGATTAATGTTAGTTGATTGTCTGTCATACTTGTAAAGCTAACTTGTAATTTACATTTTGATTACATTAGACAATGACTTTAAAGAGGGGACAAAAACAGCTTAAATAGCTTTTTGAATCAAAGATGCTTGTAATGTTCAGGATAATCTATTTCTATGCTAGGCTACTTTCATTGAAGGGTCATGTGTTTCGTTATATCATGATTCTGCCTGTACCTGAGAACCTCTCAAAAAGTCGAAAGCAGAAATTCTGCAGTCAATATAGCTAATGTGAAAGATTGTTCCTAGACAAGAAGAATGATTTGTCTAACAGAAACTTAGTATTAAGTTGGAATGTGATAGTTTCCAGCTTTGGCACTTCAGATTTGGGAATGGCTTCAGAATCTGTAGGACAGTCAGTTTCAATGGAGGTTAAGTTCAGTACTTTTTAGGATCTACCGAACTAGTCCTCTGTCCAAATTGATGTACGACCTTATTTAGGATGTCCGGAAAAAAGCTGTCGTTTTTACTAGAATAGCAAAAGGTTTATGATTGAATATCCTAATGTTACTACTTTAACTTAAAGCATAAAAAAAAACACTTCATGATACATTCTTAGTTATCAGAGGTTGAGATAATGCGACAACTATTTCATACAAAGAGAGTATACTGTTAAAAGTGCTCTGACACTGAGCAATAACTACCAGCACCAGGCAAACTTGATTGGAGTGAACAAATATATGGGATGTTTTAGGCAAGGAGTAGTATGTTCACTTTGTTGTAGCTTACATTTACCCCAGACTAATCACTGTCCTCAACTCGTCAACCAAATTTTATGGCACTGAACTCATCAAGATCAATTCGACACTTAGTAATGCAGAATTCGTACAGGGAAAAAAAATTAGAGCTGCATCTTTGAAATAATAGAAATCAAACCCCTGTTCTGTTATTACTTTCAGCTCATTTAGGACAGTGATACAGATTGACGGATGTTACTAGAAGTGCATGCTGTGAAAAGAAATTCATGAACATGTTTTTCAAGCATTTTTCTCATAGAAGTGTTCTGATTATTGTTTTTTCAGGTAACAGAATGGGGGAAGATGAGCATGTGTGATGCTGAGAGGAGACTTTTGGCAAATGCGTTGCTTGATCTGTCCAACGAATACTTTGTTCTGCTTTCAGAGGCGTGCATTGCTACCCGTAACTTCACCATTGTGTATCGTTACATTTTAAAATCTCGTTACAGCTTTATAGGCTCCTATGATGAACATGGACCCTATGGAAGGGGGCGATATGACAAGCGCATGGAACCTGAGGTCACCCTCGAGCAATGGAGAAAAGGTTCCCAATGGTTTGAGGTTAACCGTGAACTTGCTCTCCGGATTGTAGAGGACAAAGTTTACTATCCGAAGTTCAAGGAATTCTGCAAGCCGGCTTGTTATGTGGATGAGCACTACTTCCCCACCATGCTAACGATCCTAGTTCCTCATTTGCTAGCAAACCGAAGCCTTACATACACAGATTGGTCGAGAGGCGGGCCCCACCCAGCTACATACGGCAAGAAGGATGTTTCAAAGGAGTTCTTTGACAAGATATTAGGAAGGCGAATGTGCTTCTACAACCATCGCCTGGTCTTTCTATGCCAGCTTTTTGCACGAAAGTTTGCACCCAGTGCTTTAGAACCCCTCTTGAGTTTGTCATCTGAAGTTTTTGGATACTGAATTAGGGAATAGACTGCTGGTACCTAGATAATGTTACAGTAACATACTTCTGGACCAATTGTGTTTTGTTACTCCTGTGGATACAAGCTTACCCTTTTTCGGGGAAAAGTGAATATGTAGCAAAACTCTAGATTACACTCTTCAACTGGATGGTTACATACTTACATGTAAGTTTAAACATTTGATGCCTATATATAGAAAAGCCTACATACACTACATCATGAAGGTTTTATTTGTTCTAAAGCTTAATGTGACTGTTAGGGTACAAGTCATAACTTGCCAATTGTTCTTTTCCTGAACTGGATGTATAACAATTAGATAAATGCTGAGCTAAATTTTATTTAAAAGCTGAATTTACTGCAGAATAAGCACCCGCATTGGACCACATTTCATGTGCGTCTCAAAATGGATTACAATTCATCATGACGAGTTCTATCATGTTCGAGGTTTTTTGTCCCCTTTTCGAGAAGGTATCTCACAGCCAGTGAGGCGTGAAGAGATGCACCATAAGGAAGCACATTTTCATTAAGAACAAACAATGGGTTATGCTCTGAGCCTGTTCTGCCTAGCGTCTCATTTTGCAGACCAACAAAGAACAAAAGTCCCGGGATTACTTCTTGATAATGTGCAAAATCCTCGGATCCAGTTAGGGGCTTGGCTTCTTTCACATTATTTGAGCCAATCATATCTGTTGCAACGCTGCTGAAGAGCTTATGCAGGTTTTCATCATTAATGGTCGGCGGGTATGTGACTCCAGCATCAAAGAAATCAATAGCTGCAGTGCACCTTTTTACAGCAGCTTGGCTTGTTATAACCTGTAATGTAACGCAAATATTAAATGGGGATGATAGCGGATATTAATTACCATGCATCGGACAATCAGAAAAGCACCGTGCTTAAATAGTGCAATCTACAAATAGATCTTCAATCCTTTCGCGGACTTAAAGAAATACTTGGAATGGTGCCCAACAGCTGATGGCATTAACACAAAAGTCCCAAAATAAAAACAAAACAAAACAAAACACAGCCAGACACAGGATTTAAAGACCGTTTGTATAGTCAACACTAGAAAAGTTTCCAGAGATGACAAAAAGTATTATTATTATCTACGCAGAAATCAGCATTCACTAACTAAAATTGTATTTCATGAAAGCAAGAATATCAGTACCTGGATACAGTATGTATTAATTAATGTAATAGAATATCATCTAGAGAAGTTCAAGAATTAGGACAGTGTCATGTTATGTTTATAATATTAACTATGAAGTATTACTTACTATTACCCTCAAGGTCTGTCTTAGCCATATGAGCACACAAAAACAATATTGAAATAAATAAATAAAAAGCTTGTAATGTTATTGTTTAGTTCACTATTATCTTCTGAACACCTTATATGAACATAAAGGTGCTCGTTCTCAATGATGAAAATGTAGGTCAAAACAGAAAGATGATCCCAAAGAAGTTATTATTATCACCATTCACCACAGAAAGGCCAATAGAGAATTATACCTCTCCAATTCTTTGTTTAAGACGTGTAAGGCTTTCCCTTAACAAGGCTCTGATTGTACCACCAATAGTGACAGAATCCGGTATTACATTGAATGCAGCGCCTCCTTGGAACTTCCCTACTGTAACAACCTGCACAAGAAAACCTAATCTTCAAAAATATATGGGAAGAATATTACAGTAGAAGATGATATGCCTCCATAGTGAGTATGAGAGCAGAAGAAACAGACAGAATAACTTTCAGTTAGAATATCAAAGGAAGACCTCATTTCAATAGCTGATTAACTTTAGACACTAAAATAATCCTATAATATATTTTTAATAAAATAGAAAAGGGAAGAATATTTGATATTCTGGTGCTCCTAGTTGAGGACTAGAGGACAGTAAATTATTATTGTCTGAACCACTATCAATATATATGCTAACAAATTATGCCTTCTAATCTCAATATTCACACACAAGTTGGTTAGACTGAAAAAGATATAAAAATTTGGCAAATGAGTATATTCTCAAATGCTATCTGAAATTCATAGATCACTATCCTAATGGGAAAAGTTATAATTTAAGAAGCAAATACAGGCGGTTACCCTGACAACAAAGCCCAATCAAACAATCAAAACTAAGTGGTAGTTAAGAAACCAGATTAAATCGAGGGGATCAGTTTCACGAGAAACATCATTGACGAAGCAAATACAGGCGGTTACCCTGATAACAAAGCCTAATTTAACAATTGAAACTAAGTGCTAGTTAAGAAAACAAATTACTTGAGAATCGAGGGGATCAGCTTCACGAGAAACAATATGCTGTAAGCTGACAATGACATTCGAAGCTGCCAATATGGGATCACTGTGTGATGAGGAATAGCAGCATGACCACCTTTTCCAGTAATTACAGCTTGAAAGAATCCACTTCCGGCCAAGAGTGGACCAGGCCTGGAGGAAACTTGACCAACAGGTAAGCCAGAATTAACATGCAAAGCAAATATGGCTTCAACATTCTCCACTGCTCCAGCCTCGATCATTCTCTGGGCGCCGCCATATCCTTCCTCACCTGGTTGGAAAACCAAAACAACTGTTCCCTACAGTTTTATGAAAGGGAGCAAAAGGCATAAGACTTCAGGGAACTAATAAGTATTAAGATTTAAGAAGACTGCTCTTATTCTTATATTGAAAATGTCATCTTGAAAACATGTAATTGCACACCAGTAATAAAATATCATTTAATTACAGTGCTATGTCATTTGATTGCACTGGTCAAAGTAGGTTTGCCAATTTTCTGCCCCAACTTTATACAGCATACTCAAGAAAGCCTACAAGCAGTACATTCAACGCTTTTACAGTCAATTTCGAACAGATGATAGCGAAAGCACCTTTTCACAAGAAGATTCTCAAAAGTTAACTGTCCAAACAACCGGAAATGATACCAAACTATAGTCAAGTAAAGTCAACTCCTCATGCCTATCTAACTGCTTATAGTCAACTTAACAACATGATAGTTTGGTCAACTTGGATTTTATAATTGGTTAATATGTCATCCATTCCTAACAATGATTTAACTAAAGGACAGAACAGCTATATGTTCACAAATGTTACATGCTATTTTCGGTGGAAGTGCTTTTAGAGCTTAGAAGGAATCCTTCACTGCAAAGAAAAAAGAAAGATTCTACTATAAATGCTTCAGTTTACTTTGGGAGCTCTGCATTGCACTGCCCCTGAAGAGCCATTGAAACGCTTCAACTTGGCCACACAATTAGGCCACATAATAGAGAAAAATATATCTCAGATTGAGCATCAACACATTTATAGCTACATAATTCCACTATTTACAGCATCAAGTCGATAAATCCGCATAAAATGAAGCTACTCAATGAGGACGGACAAAACCTCGAATCACGAAAGCAAATTCAGCAGAAGCAAACCTGTAACTTGTGTCGATTCTCTTGGAGGATCCTTGCAGCACCAAGCAACATGGCAACATGTGCATCATGCCCACATGCATGCATTTTTCCAGGAACTTGACTCTTGTGTTCCCATTCCACCATTTCCTGCAATAAGCATGAGCATAGTAAATTCAACAATTGATGAGTATGATGACTACTTTCAATCTCATCTCCCCAAAAATCATCAAACCACATACAAGTATATATTATAAACTAAAATGCAAATCACATTTTATTATTCAACCATTAAAAACACCACTTTCGTTGTTTCAAGAGCCACAAGAGCAATGATGTGGACCGGATTAGATCTCGGGTAGAGGTCACCCACTCACGACTTTACCAACTAAGCTAGCCGACATTCATCAATAAAACATTTTAAATAAAATTCATTAATAATTTATTATTCAACACCCATTTCCTATAACCATTACTAATAAACAATGAGCATTATAAAATATAAATTAATTTCACAAAATTTCAATCAAAAATAAACAATCAAACAGTACCTCAATAGGAAGAGCATCCATATCAGCCCTCAAAGCCACAAATGGAGGTTCCCCAGTTCCAATAAACCCAAGAACACCAGTAACAGCAACTGGGTACTTATAATTTATCCCTAATTTATCCAATTCCTCTCTAATAACCCGACTAGTCTCAAATTCCTCAAACCCCAATTCAGGATTTTCATGCAATTTCCTCCTAATACCCACCATCCAATCAAAAACCTCAGATTTCTGGGTTTGATTAAGGAAAAATTTTGGGATCTCTTCAAGCTCATTTGAGGATAAAATTGACTCAGATTGTATGAAATTTACAAGAAAACAGTGAAGAATGAAGATTGCAAAAACCCATTTGGAAAAACCCATGATTTTGGTTTGGGTTTTTTTTTTTCTGCAATATGTTTAATGTTTGATCAAATAAATTTCTGTACTGTATATAACAAAAGAAAGATTAAATTTTGTTTCTTAAGGTGGAATAGGGGACCAGATTCTATGGAGTTGGCGCACTTTAAACAGTATTAAGAGAAGAATTATAGGCTGAAATTAATAATGGTAGAAAAGTTGATGAGGGATATTTGCTGGAGTTGATTAAATTATGTAGAAGTGGGTCACAGGAGTGGTTTTTTTGTGAGTTGTGACTCAAATTTCTAATAGAATCTTCACTATAATTTGAGTTGAATTGTGGCATTATTATCATGTGCTTGAATTATTTAATGTAAGTTGTTGAGATATTTTCAAAAACTCCTTTCGTTTAAAATAATTGAAAAAAAAAACACCCTTTTAAAAGCATCATTTTACAAAAGAAAATCTTTTATAAGTTTTGTTGTAAAAGAAAACCCAAACTTAAAATTTTTTTTTTCTTTAAAACAACCTAGTCCCACTAATTCACTTAATTAACCACTAACTCACTTAATTAACCACTAATTTCTTCTAATCAACTTCTAATTCTCATTTTACTACATAATAATTAAATTAATTTATAGATTAAAACAATAAAAAATAAAAAAAATAGATACACCACCCCCACCACCAGCCAGCCAACCCTCCCTCTCCCTTTCCCCTTCCCTCGGCAGCAGCCCCCTCCCCCAACCGAGCCGCCGCCTTGCACCCCTACCGCCGGCAACCCACCTCCCTTTCCCCCTCACACCCTCATTTCTTCTTAATCAATTTCCTCCAAAAATTTCTAATTTCATCTTTCTCTCTCCTAGCTCAATCGTGATTAGCTATGACTTCTCCCTCTCAATTTCCCTAAATTATCTCACAAAAACCCTAATTTATCAATTGAAGACTTTAATTTCACCTCGAATTTCTCTCTCCTCCTTCCACTCCCATGCCCGCCATGATTATTGTACTCGACCTGCAATTGTGCAAACTTTGATTATTGTTCTCGACCTTCTTTGGAACACAATGTTGTATTTTGAGAATTCGTGGTCGGATCGAGTTAATATGATGTTTCTGGGGTGTGGGTGTTTTCATGGTGGGCTGGCAATGGGAGTAAGAAGGTTTTCTTGATGGTGGTTGACGACGGGATTAGGCTAGCTGGTGGTAGGTTGTGGCTAGGGTGGTTTTTGTGGTTGGCTTATTGGATGGGGGCAACGATTCTGGTGGCTTAATCGGTGGTGGAGGCTACTGGCAGGGGAGGGGGAAAGAGAGTGGGTGGCTGGCTTGGTGGTGGGGATGGTGGTTTTTGGTTTTTTTGATCTTTTTTATTTATAAACTAATGTTATTATTAAATAGAGTTAAAGGATAATTAGAAGTAATTAGTAGTTAATTAGGTGAATTAGAGGCACCAGGTTGTCTTCAACAAAAATTAGGTGTGTTGGGGTTTTCTTTAACAACAAAGCTTTTAAAATGTTTTCTTTTGCAAAATGGTGCTTTTAAAAGGTTTTTTTTTTTTTTTTTTTTTTTTTTTACAAATTTGCCTTTTTTTTTACTACTCCCTGTGTAAAATAAATGACATAATTAACATTGCACATACATATACTCATGCACTAGTTTGACTTTATTTTAGTTAAATATTAATGAAAATTATTTTTTAAATTATATTATGAAATTTTATGTTGATACCTATCTAACATATTTTATGATAAACTATATGTTTTTATTATGTTAGTAAAAAAAATATGGTCAAAGCTAATGTATGAATAGTGGAAAAAAAAATCCAACGTCTCATGTATTTTGGGACAAAGAGAGTAATACCTTCATTTCATAATAATCGCAACATATTTCTTAAAAGTCTATTTCATAATAATTACAACATTTTTTTATTTGATAATGACTCACTTTTATTTCATTATTCTCTATCCAACTAATCCACCAGCCCTACTACTTGGGCCCTGTACTTTAGAGCTGCTCTGCTGAAATCTGTTATGCTATGCTCTACTTAGTGTGTGTGTGTGTGTGTGTGTGTGTGTGTATATATATAACACTCGTGCTTTAGATGGGCCAAAAGTCTCGTTATTATGAGAGAGAGAGAGAGAGAGAGAGAGAGAGAACCAAGGCTAAAATAAGAACTAGGAATTAATCTAGACCCTTAGATCATGTTAATCGAATGGCTCACATGCTTCCCGTATCATTAATGGCATTTTGTAATATTTTAACTTGATAAAGTAGTTTCCAGTTTCATCTCTCAAAAGTAAATGAAAATTTAGTAAAAGTAAGTGAAATCAGTCTTAAAGTAAATGAAATTGCCTAAAAAGTTAAAAAAAAAAAACTGGAAAAAAGTTTGAAAACAGTGAAATTACGAGAATGTCATTAATGAGAGCGAGTGCAATGTGAGCCATTAGATGAAGTGCGATCAATGGCTGAGAGTAGTTCCTAATTCCTATTATTCATCTTGGTTTTCACATGATCTCAATCATATATATATATATATATATATATATATATATATATATATATATATAGTTGAAAATTAGTAAAATAAAGGAATTCACAAATTGTGAGTTAAGAAATTTTTAATAGCTAAAATATATGTCAAATCTTTTTTATTTTAAGTAATTATATCGTATAAAATTAGAGTATTGTTTTTGTAAATAAATTTTGTTTCTTTAGTTAAATTTTATTCAAAAAAAAAAAACTAAGGACACACCAGAAAATGACACGTGTCATTGCTGGTGTGTCTTTTAGTATATAGTTATTAAATATAGTTATTAATAATTTTGAATAATAACAACACGTCAACACTAATCAAAAATCCTAATTAACAAATCAGAAATATCATTTTTTCATCATCATCACCAAATTTTGGCAACAATTTGAAGTCATACTGTATTCAATAAGAACGTAATAAGAGTAATAAAAAATCAATAATAATGAAATAAAAATCGATGAATACTACCATATTGAATTGGACTGAAATTCTAAAGTGGAAGAGTGATTTGATTTTCAATATCTTAATCAATGGCTATAGTTAAGGCTAATAAAAAAAGCAAAATAACTATTAAGGCCTATTAATTAAAGTACGGAACACAAATCGAATTTAATAAAATAACAAAATTGCCAGGAAATTAGTTTAAATACCCTCATCAATGGCCTTAATCATTCTTCAAATTTCAATTATTCGATTACACAATATTCGATTGTATCAAATGAATAAGGACATCGATGAGAGTATTGAAGATAAGGCAATTCAAAATTCAAAATTGATGAACCCTAATTAGGGATTTGAGGTTTTAGAGATTGGTGAATCATAATGAAATGGGCACTGTAGACACTCACTTGTGTCTCCCCAAAACCAAACCCAGTGATGAGTACCTTTCACGTCGAATCATAATCGAATGAAACGAAAGTGTGGAAAATTCTAGTGTTGCGGAAAGTTTTAATTTCTTTTCTCTTATCTCTGTTTTTGAAAACTTTATTTTAAGAAAACAGCTAATCCTGTTTGATTGGTCCATGATATGGGTCCAATAGTAGTGTAGTTGGATGGGTCTTGCAAAGACCTTTCCAACGATATATTATAAGCCCAATTCCGATGAATATTGAGGAAGTTATGGTCAATTTACTAAACTGGACCCGGTTTGAGCTTTATGTGCAGCCCAATGATCTAGGGGAGGGCCTAATATGATTTGTCATTCCTAATGCAATTAGCATTGATAAATTGACTTTTGTTGACTTTTCAGAGTTTTGATCAAAATCAAATAGCATTTTCGAAGAAATTATATTATTTTATCCTCCAGTACAGTAAATTTATCGGATTTTCGAAAACACGTTAAAATCAAGTTTGGCGTCCAACCCCAGGCCTTGGCGCCTGGAACCAGGGCTGGCGCCTGGCGCTAGTGCTGGTGCCCGGCGCCAGCCAGGGTTGGCGCCAGCTTTGTTTCCTGAGCGTCAGACTCTATTTTGTTTAATTTATCTTTTTGGCTGATTTTCTCTATAAATATCGTATTAAAAACTCCGTTTTCATTCACCTACAATTAGTTTTCATTCGCAATCATTAATTCTCTAATTCTCTCTTAATTCATTCATCTTTCTCTTTTTCTAAATTTGTTTTCACATACAAAATTCCGCATTCGCAAGATCTAGAAACACCTAGCCATATTCGAAGTTGCCTTCGCCCTAGACGTGAAAAGTTTTAATTTCTGAGGGTTTGGTCCCAAATCTCTCTTTCAATTATTTAATTTAATTGTTTTGATTATTATTTTCCTTGAAGTTACTAACGTGTGTATTTTGTTATTAGAAAGAGGTACGAGGCATCAAAGTAAGTACTTTAATTGATTAATTGATATTATGATGTAGAAATCATGTTTATATTGTTATTATGATATTCCTAGTATCATGTCTAGGGTAATTTTAATATTAAATATGATTGTTACGATGCGTCCTATGTTCTTCCTAATATTTATGATTGTTAGTATCATGTTAGGGTTAAAGATTTGATTTTTATTGCTTAGTGACATGCTAGGGTTTATTATTAATCTTGTTAGTATCATGCCTAGGATCTTGTTATGTTTATTATGCTTTAATATTAACATGAACATGATTATTATTGTAATTGTTATAATTTATGATGATTATGATTATTATTATTTTGATGATGATTATTTTATTTATGATGATATTATTATTATAATTATTATTCATGATTATTGATTATTATTATGTTGCTTGATGATATTTATTATTTATTGCTTGATCACACCTTTATGCATGTTTAAAGGGAATTTGTACTTGTAATCATGCTTAATAAGATAATTAATAATCTTGTTAGGGTTAATTTGATTATAATTTCAAGTGATCTCCAATAATAACTTATTTGTGCATTAATATTCAACCAACATAGATTAAACAGGTTTAGGGTAATCCTATTGATTGCATGTTAATTAGAAAGCGCACATGAATACGATCAGAATAAAGTAGAGGCCTATTATTAGGGCAGGTTCAATCTCTTTTAGGTTGGATTTGTACATTCATCCCCGAACCCTTATTTGGTTCATGACCTTATGGAGTTGACGATCTCTTGGATCGTTAAGGGGTGTAACGTTCACCTCGTGAACGGTTTACAAGTTCCTTAAAAAACTTGTTGGCGACTCTTTTGCTCTATCTTTTTTCCTTTTGGACGCCACCGTACTTTAGTGTATGATCACAGTGGGGTTCAAGCTAGTGGGATTTTAAAGCTTGAAATTATTCCCTACATGCACTTATTTAGTAAGAACCTCTTGAAGGTGATCTTCTTATCATCTACACCAAGATTTGGAAATTCTATAGCTAGAGAAGAGCATAAATTGGCATACATTTCACAGAACGTCGGTTTAGTTAGAGCCTTGTCAAAAATCAGAGATATAACTCCAGTTGGAATCACTGCATTGTCGATATTAACTTCTTTAACTTACTCAAACTGTTTCTCAAAATTTTGTGGGGTAAGCTTATTAGCCTTTAACCTCCTTTGTTTTGCTTACTCTTCATCACTAACTTTACCCCCTTCATACTTATTATTAGCTATGTGCATCAACTGTGAAGGATACTGAGAAGCCAACATTATACCTCTATCAAAACTTGTAGCTAGTTGCCAACGTTCTGCATCAGGTGTATATCGTTGAACTCCCTGAAAACTCATTTGACAACGCATGGGAAGATCATTACACTGCTTTGATAATGTGAGGAGAAAATTCCTTGAATACTTTTTCACTAATTCTTTTTCTTCATCATTGTAAGAGTCTCAATGTTCTGCTTGAGCTTAAGCATCCAATTTCGATGCAGACACATCAGCAATATCTTCTCAATCTTCAAACTCTAATTTACTTTTCTCTCCCTTATCCTTTCTTAGCTTTCACTATTTTCACAATTAGAATGAATCTTCAAAATACTAGAAACATCTTTTCCAGAATCAACATTTTCTTTCTTTTCTTCAACAATTTTAAATATATAGATCACCGTTCATAGAATCCGAATTTTGGAACATTTCTTTCCATTTCTTCCCCTTATTATTCTTTGTCTTACCCAAAAAAGAACTTGATCTTGTTTTTCTGTAATTTCTACTTCTTGCTTTAAAGTAGCTTCAAAAACATTTACAAAAAATAGAAAACAACTTATTACCTAATGTAAGTTTGGACACATTATTGGGATAAAACATTTGTAAGGATGTCAGTTCCAAAAGTGGCATACTTAAACTCACTCTAAAATGTTTCAAAACCAACTGCCTCTCATTAAAGCTTTTTAAATTTATCACATTGTAAAAGCATTATCTGGTTGCAGCCTCTTAACTTTTTCCCCCTTTATGCTCAATAACTTGCAAAACATGGTCATTTTTTCTATTGTGTTGATCATTTTCATGGAGATGCAACATGGTTTACACCTGGCCACCATGGTGTATCACAACATATTGTATCTATGTATTATGTGATTTGTCAATTGATTAATAATTTTAATATAATTTGTTTCATGTTGTTTGAAGCCATTTATAGAAAATGTAGACTAGTCATTGTTTAACAATCTAAGTATTAGTTTATTTCTTTTAAAACTTTGTGTCTCGGGGAAATTGAGCAAGTGATAAAAACTATATCATGAAATATGTCGTTGA